TAAGCACCTTGGTATAATTATTGACGACTGTCTAACATGGGCTCCTTATGTAGACTATATTGGCAAGAAAACTAGTAGTGTTCTCGGCATACTATATCCTCATCATTCTCATTTGCCAAATACATGCCGTTCTATGTTTTATCTATTATCTATTTTCCAGTATGTATGTCAGTCTTTGTGTAGTCTAAGTCAACATCATGTGAACAAACTTGAAATCCAACATAAATCTCTTCTTAAAAATATTGTTTAACAAGCAGCGTTTATTTCCTAGTCTTGAGCTCTATTGTATCAGCAATACTCAGCCACTGCAAGATAATCGCAAACAGCAGCTTTGCATTTTGATCCATAGAATTCGCCTAGGTAAAATTCCCATTCATCTCTCCGCATTCAATTGGTTTTCTCTGTCCCGGTCGACTCGTATAAGCCTCTCACTTCCCCGTGCTAATTCAGCCGCATTTACCAACTCTCCTCTGTTTTTGTCCTACAGCCTTTGGCTGCAACTTCCCCAGCATGTTAAGACATCAAAATGTCTTTCCAGCTTTAAAAATGCACTCCGATCGCATAATGTAGTACGATAGGATCTCCTTGCTGGATTCTTGTCTGTCCTTCTTTCTTCTCTTTTTCAATATTCCTTTTTTTCTTTTCTTGCCGTGGTTGGCTATCACCCCTCTCTCGCACTTTGAGTGCCAATTGGTCATGGACCACGAGTTGAGTGAAATAAAAAATAAAATATTAACTGGTTTGAGGGAAAGAGACAAACGGGAAAAGTCTGAAGAAAAAATTGACTGTCACCACCAGGACTCGAACCAGGGACAGGGACCCTCGCTTGTAGCCAGCGATGCTCTAACCACTGAGCTATGGTGTAGTCGTCATCCCAGCAGAGGCCGTTCAACATTTTCTTCAGACTTCGTAAAATAAAAGCACAGTTTCCAATAATCCAATAGTAGAACACCTTGGGGCGGCATTAAAAAAATAAAGTGCTCAGTCTCCCTTTTAAGCACACTGTGTAAATTCATTATCTGTACCAGCGAAAAACCCCTGAAATGTGTGTGTCTGACATGAATTTGGCCATGGCAACATGCCTATGAAATGAGGTTGAAATAATAATGGAACGGTCTCCAATAAAGGAACGTCTCCATTAATAGCACGGGGCAGAGGTACATTGAAAAAATAAAGGACAATGCTTATATTAGAGATAATAATTATTACGGTACATGTATATACAATTAGACAGTTGTCAAAGGTGCTCAGGCTGCGTATAGAGCTCTAGGTGAGTACATGTACTGTATACTTAAACCGGTAAATGTATTGTACATGTACAAGACTCAAGAGCTACAGGCTGAGACTGAGAGTTGTGTCCGAGGAGGGGGGAATACCCGAGCGCCCTCTGCATCCTGTCACGTGATAATTATGGTGTGCAGGTGAGGTGAAGTGCTCTCCGCCTAGTATGAATGTCATCGCCCAGTTTGCAATGACTGTGGGACAGCAAGCCGCTTTCATCCTGATGTAGCCCTTTCCCAAAGATGCCATAATTTTTCGCCACTTACGCTTTTCGCAACTGTGCCTAAACAAGTGCAAGTTGCTGAAATAGCACCCGTATTTTCAGAAAAAGGTCAAAAGTTGCTAACATCGCAACTTAAAATTAGAGAGTTCTTGTGCAAAAAGTAGCCAAAAACCACCAACACAAGGAGCAGAAATATCAGAAGTGCTGCGACAGCAAACTCGTACACCCCTTCCTGCTGTGAACCACAACATTGCACAGTGCCAGTAGCCTGTATCCTACATCATTCCAATGTACGGTAAAGGGAATGCACATTATCGTAACTACCGTTGATCTACTGTTTCTCTGAAATGAGTCCGAACTCTGAAGGCAGACGAAAAATGAGCAAGTATCCATTTGTCCGACATGTAGTCTGTGACTTGACCTTTTGACCCCATGCACATGCATGCAATGGGGCCAAAGGTTGCGGAAAAGTTGCTAAATAGTTCGCTAAAATGAAGAAAGTTGCGAAGGTTGCGATTTCCTCCTAAACAACGAAAAATTGCGAAAAAAGTGGCGAGCATCTCAACGACCAGATCATGCAGCATAAGCACACCCATGTACACGCACATGCATCCAATCCCACCCAAACACACGGATACAAGCATACTTTTGTCCACCTAAATACCAAGCTCCAACAGCGCATAGACGGGATTCCGGGACTACATCATACATGTATTTGGTGCAGTTCTGAGGCGGGAAATGGCGTAGTTTGCAATTTTTTTGTATGATATAAGGACCAGCACGTTCGGGCTCTCCGCCTTCTCCGTGAAAAAATATAAAAATGGTTCTGCGTTCCGGCTCTCCGCCTTCTAAGCAAACAAACAAAAAACTAGAGGAAAACAAACAAACACAAGAAGAAAGAATGACAAGAAAAGCAGAAAAATATGAGAACATGATATAAATGAGCACGGCAATCGACCTCAACAGCGGAACGCCGACTCAGCAACAACAAGAGCAGCGGAGTCCGCAGGAAGTGGCGTAGTTCGGCCAACTGAGTTCTGCAGTTGTGCAGAAAGAGACCGGCTTGAATCCCGCTAGTAGACACTACATTACTAAAATGATTGCAATCACGGAATTGCACTGTGACAGCAACACACCAGAGATGCACACTCTGGGTTTCATGTATCCTTGATAAAAGCCACATATCAGCAGTTGTCATGGTAAAACTCAGTGCAAGATAGGCAGACTTGTGTGTTGCACACCAAAAGACCAAAGTTGCAATATCATAACTCAAGGCTCGAATGCCAATGGGACTGTCCATACCTGGCAGGGAGTATACTGCCCGAGCCTACAAGACTTCGTATACACTAAATGTCTTGCCAGCAAGAAATTAGTTCAGAGCTCCTTTTTCACCACATACAACATTGACAAGATAGCACCAAAGGGATAGTTGGATCAAGCTGGCATATTGCAGGACCGGCAGAAGCAGCCTTCGACTGGTCCCGCCATATCCTAGCCTTTCATACTTTGTGTACGACATGGAGGGTACACACTACACACATGACCCCCTCGGCAGTAACACACACCCCAGTGGCTAAAACGTTGGTTCGACCATGGCCTAACCAACTGGACCAGTTCTGCCGGGCTTGTATAGGCAAGTTGCTGTTCAACGAGTCCTGGTCAGAATATGGCCCAGGTATCAAACTCCTAAAGTTACTCCTGTCCCACCTACATGTAAATCTGTTGGACTCATGAAAATGGAACGTGTCGGAATGTCTGTGTTATCACGTATGTAAGCGTGCCATCTCCTGCACATAATGCTACTACGGTAAAGTCCTGCCAGAGCGCCTCCGTCTCCCCCCCCCCCCCCGTCTCTCACATGCAAGTAGCACTCGCCCACCCGCCACTCCCCACCTTGACCCACTCGAAAGGTGGCGGAGATAGGGGCACTCTGGCAGGACTTTACGGTAATTGTTAGAGTTACAAAATAATTACAGCTGTATGTGTATACACAGTATGTAGTGCATGGAGGTGGTGTGCAAAGATTCAAGTTGCTGTATTGAGAACATTTTTTCTTCTTTTATATTTCAAGGATTCCCCACAGGCCATTTGCCATGACTGTGTATTGCTGTTATTGGCAGCATTGTATAGATGGGAGAGAATAACCAAGGTCCCATACATATGCCAAAGGTATTTAGGTACACCATCATCTGCGTTTGCACAACTGTGGTACAGGGGATTTCTGGATGATTGTCTTGATCAATTTCCCAAGATTTGACGACAGGCTATTGATTATTTAGTGGGGTGTTGTGGGCCAAGGATCTACGACCATCTCTTTTGCATTACGACAAAATAGACACTTTCACAAGTTCATACTAGTACACACGATTCCACCAGTGCAAAACATACCGTTGGGCACGTCGCCAGTCCTTTCCAGCCTTGAATTCCAAAGCGCCTACGTGTTCAAGAGGACCCCCGAGGGAACTACGGTTTTGGAATGTTCCGAAAACGAATCAGGAAAGCACGAAAAAAGGCCATTGCATGGCTAGTGTTTTCGCGGAGTCTAAAAAGAGCCCTCCTTCTCAGCCATTACGGCCACAGCTAGCTACAGGGCTTCGGTTGGCTTTGTAGAAAGGAGGAGAGTCGTATGTAAATTCCAGAAGCGCTCCAAAAGCGTCAAAAATGAGGCGTCTTCATGTCTTCGTTTCCTGCGCTTGCAGATCAGCCTCTGCAGTCTGAATGCATGGTACCAAGAGTACATAGATGGATGCACTCTTGAAGGTACTGAACACCCCTTAAAAGGCCTTGGCAAGCTTACACGTGCCAGTAATGGACATGCGAAGTGGTTTATTGTCCCATGACTTGACATGACCTTGCGTGGCACGGCCATATTTGGGCCCCAGGCAAAGGACAAAGGTGCCAAGCGTTGATCTACACCAACATTTTAATGCAATCACAGCTGGCGCACAAATATTAAAATGTGTCAGTAGCATGGAGGGAGTTGTACTACTCCTTGGTCATATCACTATCCATACTCCCAGGTCAGTAGTTGAGCTAGGTTGTCTGGGTCTACAGCTTATCTAAAGTGAGTTTCTAACTTCTTCTTTTTGTTGTTGTTGAGAACCATCAGGCCTTGTTCTTTTGGCCCATTGGTACCATACATATCCCATTTCTAAAACACAAAATCAAAGCGATCTCTAACGTTATTTGGAAAGAACTGCGAGTTACAGCACCCTGAACAGCAGCATTACATGTACACTGCATGCACTGTTGTTTTCCAGTACAGCTACCCCCCCCCCCCCCTGTATTCTGGCACGGGCACAAGCCGACACTGGCACGTCACATGGATCAGTGTGTTTGAACATGGTTTGTTGCTAGCTATCAACGATTGGCAAAGAATTCGTCGGCCATTGATGCTATGAAACTGTTCCTACTTAAAAAAGAACTAAGCGTGCAGGTGCGAGCTGAGTTTCTGTGAATGTCAGCCTGCCATGAGCAAACGGTACTGAGTACTGACCTGTATTGACGAGATCAGCTCGTCTCCAACGCCGTGGTGCTCCAGGCAAGCCATGTACTCGGCAAGTTTGACGTCATTCAGAGCTGGAAATGCCATAGTCCGCGCCATGCGCTCCATTGCACTGAACATTCTCGGAGGATCGGCTACATCCGGGTCTCCATGTTCATCTGAGCCATCCATGATCTGCGAAGAGGGTGCTCGCTGGGCTAAATGCCCATGTACAAGCATATTTTCACCAGAGCTAAAGCAAAAGGCTGTACCGTGCGTCACTCGAACTTTTGTTCACATGGGAAAGGTATTGGATGGATCTCCACTGGCTCCACAATCCTCAGACTCCGAGCCACAACTCGTACCCTTGAGACTAGCAATCAGAGCAATCAGTAATCAGAGGAAGTTTCAAAAGTTAGTTTTCATTCCAAGGTATGGCACGAAATCCCTGATTCCAGGCCTCACTGAACAGTAACAAGTGAATATCACCCCGGGCGGGGGATTGTTCGGCCTTATATCATTCCGATTCCTTTGTTACCGTACCTATAAGGCCCAGCTATATAGTACGGTGCACATTGAATTGGCACCCAAAGCCACCCATCCCCTCCCGATTTGGTGGAATGCATTTTGCCGGTGACAAAATGCACTACACAGAACTGCGAGGTTGAGGGTCCTGAGCTGAGGCCATGATCCATATGAGGGAAGCATCCCACTCAAGTCAAGAGCATATCCAGAGTAGCACGATTACGTATGGATGAGTACCAGGTCGATCGTGGCGCCGCTTGGGCATGTTGGCGCCCGATTGGGCGGCGGACGCTGGCGCCGCGTACTAACAAGCATAAAAGTCAATTTTAGGAGGATGGAATTATGCTGGCTTTTAAATTTGGTCTAAACTAGCATGAAAGCTGTATTTAACGTACAATGTACAGAGGTACGTGTACGTGCGAAAGTGTTGCCCCGATATTGGCACCGCAGGCCGCGCACCTGAGGGCCTTTCTGGAAGCCTTACTCGATCGGATAGAGCGAAACTGAGCACCCTGGGATGCGAGCAGTTTTTAGTACAGTCGTCCCTCTCTAATCCGGCACTTTATAATCCAGCACCCTCGATAAACCAGCACAATTTTCAGTAGCGAAAATCGAAAATCGTGACGAACCAAGTGCTGAAATCTTGGTTGGGACAAATCAAACGTTCAGCATTTACCTCAACCAAGGACCATGCCGTTTGCTCTTTCCACTTCCTGAAGATGGATGCGCTGCCTGCTGGAGACTCTCCTATCTCTCGTAACATCTTCTGAAGCCAGGTAAGACGACGAGTAGCGCAGATTAGCGAACGAAATAATGTCGTGTGTTTTGAAATTTTTGCTGAACATTTCTCAGGAGAGATGGCGAATACCAAGCATATTCTCCAAGTCTAGAGAAACCATTTCGTAGGCTACATTCCGCCAAGGGAAATGCAGGAGATGGCCTGGCTGGGGAGGACACACTTGGAGGAGAACGAAGTAAGTGATCTTGTTCATGTTGTTCTTTGGTATTGCAATCTTATGTTTGATGAACATACGGCATGGTGCATAGTTGGTCGTTGAGTGCCTGCATGTGCATGTATAAGTGTGTGCTGATAAACAATTCCTATGCAAGAATCTGACACTCATGCTCTCTTTCTTTCTTGCAGTATGTGCGCACGTGTGTGTGTGTGTGTGTGTGTGTGTGTGTGTGTGTGTGTGTGTGTGTGTGTGAGAGAGAGAGAGAGAGAGAGAGAGAGAGAGAGAGAGAGAGAGAGAGAGAGAGAGAGAGAGAGAGAGAGAGAGAGAGAGAGTGTGTGTGTGTGTGTGTGTGTGTGTGCAGGAGCAGCGTGGAGCATGCCAGTGTGATCGTTGTGGCCGTTGCTTTCTTAGCTGTGGCGTTCTTGCCCGTCACAAGTGTGTGGCTCAGCTCCCCAACGACAGTGGAGCCGTGTTGTGGTGAATACTGTGTGTCCTGCGACCGCTGCTTCCGTTCGGTTCGGGGCAGGAATAGACACCACCGCTGAAGCTCTCCCCGGCCGTACGTCAGTCTCGTGGCAGATGACCCGAACTCTCATTTTGTGTGTATGTGTGTGTGTGTCTGTGTGTGTGTGTGTGTGTGTGTGTGTGTGTGTGTGTGTGTGTGTGTGTGTGTGGTGTATGTATATGTATGTGTGTTGCTCCCTACGTAGACAAACTCTTGTTTTTGTGTCCCGGGCGCCATGGGGCGGCGTTCTCCCATTCTCTCTCCACTGCCCCTCCGGGCCCACGTGGCAGTGACTCGACAGGGCAGGACAAGTGTGTGTATGGTGCATTTTGTGTGCTGGCATGTCTGTATAAATATGTTGGACAGGAATTTGTTCACCCACAACGTTCACGGAAAACCATGCTAGGTGTTGCTGGAACTTATGGAGTCTGCGAGCACTTACAATAACTTACGTCATGTCACAACAAAGAACGGTGCAGTGTTTGACCCTCATGTAAACACGATGGTGATGGTACCTCACCTAAGCTACCCATGAAGCTAGAAAGAACATCAGGTCAACAGAATTTTACCAGAGGAAAGCATCTATTGCCCGAACTTCTTCATATGAAATGAACAATACCCTTCTCCATAGAGACAATATGCAGATGAAGTGTATGGACAAATAATTATATAAATAGGCCATTCACTGAGGGCATGGAATGATCTCTACGTGCAGATTGGATAGACACATGCACGTCTGCAAGGAAAGCATTTGTTCATGGGTTAGTTCATGGGCTGATTGAGTTGACATGGACTAAGTTCATACATGCCATCTCTCCTGAGATATGTTCAGCAAAAATTTCAAAACATACGACATTATTTCGTTCGCTAATCTCCGCTACTCGTCGTCTCACCTGGCTTCAGAAGATGTTACGAGAGATAGGAGAGTCTCCAGCAGGCAGCGCATCCATCTTCAGGAAGTGGAAAGAGCAAACGGCATGGTCCTTGGTTGAGGTAAATGCTGAACGTTTGATTTGTCCCAACCAAGATTTCAGCACTTGGTTCGTCACGATTTTCGCTTGCCAGCTAACGTCTCCGCACTCCAGCTTTCCCCTGTCGGTGTCACGTCCCAGTACACAACGGAGAGGACTACTAATAAACAGTTCACGGCACTAACAGCCTTGAACACAGTACTTCTTTCACTTCATGAATAGAAGAAGACAACTGAAAATGACACAATTCTTCAGTGATCGACCTTCTCTCTCACGGAGCTAAGCAGAATGTGCGTCATCACCAGTAGTCGCCATGGAAACGGGATCAGGAAATAATTGGCGATATGGCAAGTTTCCCTTGCCGTACGCAAGCGAGAGATATACCATCGGAACCGATATCCGATTGTCTTTCATCTGCGCCCTACTTGAAAAATCGATGCACTTCCCCTTTAATCCAGCACCCTCCCTAATCCAGCAGATTCACAAATGGTGCCGGATTATAGAGGGACCACTGTACTCCCGGGTCCAAAATTTCACCACCAGGCCGGGCTGATCAAAAGACAAAACGTCCGCCTATGTATCAGATTGCGAATGACTGTTGGGACATTCTTCCAAAACATGACGTCACAGAATTCGTAAAAAAAAGACAACTTTTGTCGCAAGCGGCTAGCCTGTCGCGCTCGCGAGACTCATCTTGGGCGCGCTCGAGCTGCGAAGCGCGCGCGACACACGAGCGCGACCCAAACTGTGTCACGTGTGTGTCGAATCTGACCGTCATTATGATCACCTTCGATTATTTATTTTCGTTCTACTCGACAATTCCAAAAATCAGTGCCATTGGCTTTAGCTTTGCCCTTGAACTTGAAATCTCGTGCCTTATTCTTTCCTGGGGACTGGTGTTGGATATTGAACGGGCGGAGTTACCGCCGGGATGATGGATGAAGGAGATGATGGCCTAAACTTGGCTGCGCGCATTCTCATTTTCGCGCGGCCTGCCACTAGTGTTTCGCAGATTCACAAAGGGTGTCACAGGCATAGCTGGAGGAAGAAAGGTGAGAGAATCGGTTGCACAGTGCAGATCAACCCAACCATTTGGTTGTTTTAATTTTACTTCGCACAGTCAAACGGGATGACCACCCAATAAAATTTCCGAACGTGACATTGTTGTTCAGGTTTTGAGGTATGAATTCAACATCAGGTCACGGCTTGTTTGACTTTGTCCGTTAGGCTGTGTTTGCATAGATATTCTGATGGCGTCAAAGACAGTTAGAGATTTTGTTGGTCGTGTGTCGGGGGTATTGTCCCCGCCGAAACTGAATGCAAGTTTAAGAAAGACTAGGTCTAGTGAGTTATGATCAGAAGTGTCCTGTGGGTCTAGCCCTCAGCCCCTCTGCGGCAAGCAGTAAACTATATTTACACCAAAAAGCGCAAAACAAGACTTGATTTTTTACGCGGCTCTTTTCACCATGATAATTATTGTACACGTGTTATGAAAATTTGAAATACTCATGGCAACTGGTGGGTGAATCATTCAAAAATGCAAACGTGCCCGCTGTTGAGTGCAGCCATGTGAATCCACACAGTCACTTTTCTCGTAAATCGCTCGCCGTAAAACGTGCAAGTGGCTGTCGTGTGAATCGCCTATAACTGACTGTCTGCAGTTGTCGAAGTATTTCCCTGCACTCACTGTACTTTGTTAGAGATGTTCCGCATAACGTAATTACGTTAGTTAAAAAATGTAGTCGATCTACGGAGAGTCTTACGTAAACTGCATGCGCATCTGGGTTCCGCCATACGGAGTTTTCAAATCATAGCAGACTCAGCGGAGGACGTTCAGGTTGGTTGTAACTCTTGAGTTTCATGCCGTTAGGCAAACATCAGACAACTGATACTCGGGTCTACCCAACAGTGAGTCAGTATGCTTATATATATATATATACATAGGGCCACAAGCATAAACAAATTTAGCGCTAAATCTGGTGTAAGGTATGGGGAGAACAGCTGGTGCGGGCCACGGTGCGACAGTAGAAGTGCCAGGAGGGTGGCAGGCAACAGGCAGGTGTGAGCATGAAAGCGCAGAAAGAGGCGATGGGCAATGGGCCAGTGAGATCGCTAGAGGGTCTTTGGGTGATGGGCAGGCGTGGGCGTACTATTGACATCATGGATGTGTCCTCACAACAAGGCTCCACCACGAGCATGGCAAACTTTACAAAGTAAGCCTTTCAGTGCAAGTCTTGGTGGCATGGTGTCTTTTGGGTGTTTTCTTAGGTTCCAAGAGACGCGGAGCTACATTGTGTGTGTGTGTTTGTGTGTGTGTGTGTGTGTGTGTGTACGCGTGTGTGTGTGTGTGTGTGTGTGTGTGTGTGTGTGTGTGTGTGTGTGTGCATGTGTGTGTGTGTGTGTGTGTGTGTGTGTGTGTGTGTGTTTGGCACACGCCATGTACTCTCTTGTGCAGGTACTACACGAATGCGAAACGCGACAAACCCTACGTCATTAGCCTGGAGTTCACCAAGACTAAGTTGGAGCCTCAAGTGGAGTCACCCAGTCTGGTACGTCAGCAATCCTACATACACTTGAGAGAATCAAAAGCGTTTCTGCTGTAACTCTGAGTTTCACGGTTTTAACCGATCATCAGACGGCAACTTGGACTACAATTTTCAGAAGATATGATTGATATAAGCTGCAGTCAATCAATCCTATGCATGTAACGTTATATGTAGTACACTCTTTTCTGTTGTATCCGGGCGGTCCGGGACCGAGGGCTCTGCCCTTCATTTGGAAATGTTCGTAATCACGTACATCTTGATGTGGAAGGCACGTAGATCTGGCATATTACGTCACTCCTGGTATTTCCACAAATTGATAGAAAAGAAAAGCGATGTTCCGTTGGAATGTAGCAAACTGCCAAAAAATGTGGTTTGATGTACCTGTACCGCGCTCAGTGTGAATGGTGGTTCACTGAAACTAGTGGGTTGCTGATAGATTGATCTTCTGCAGATTGCGTCCGAAATAAGGCCCATGCCCAAATATACGCCCGGTTGTTGACGCTCTGCAAAGTATACGCCCTGGGCTTATTAACGGAATTTTACGGTATTCTGATTGTCTGATTGCTGACAGATACGGACGCAGCGAAGCTCTCTCCGGCGCCCACATGCGCCGAGATCCCACAGCTGTCAACGGATGACACTGCAGCCCAGTCGCCAGCGACAGCTGCTGCTGCTGCTTCGTCAGGAGACGGGAACAGCTCACAAGGCGGCAAGCCACCTCCATCACCGCCATCCTGCCCGTTCTCGGACATGGCCTGTCTCAGCTCGTATGAGATTGATGGCTTGCGACGGCTGCTGGCCGAGCTGAACGTTTCCACGACGATGGTGAGGGCGTGTCCCGAGGAGCTGGGGGATCCTGGGGAGCTCATGTCGACCGTGGAGGTAAGTTGTCGTGTGTGATGTGTGGGTAAGACCGAAGTTACCGACAATAAATCTCCACCGAAATTTTCCGGTTTTACAGTAGCCTATCTTCAGGGACATATAATAACTATTGGCGTAGATTTGTGTTATCGTTTTGCCTTGTATTCTCTTGTCAAATGTACACCGTAGATTCTGTTGAACGAGTATGAAAGCCAGTATTCTCCTCTGCAATGTACAAGCATTTTCCTGTGCAATGTATGCTGTATATTCTGTTGAATGAGTATGAATTCTCCTGTGCAACGTGCGCTGTAGATTCTGTTGAACTAGTATGAAAGCCGATTTCGCGAGGACAAGGCCACTGGATATTTAATGCTCATACCGGGAATACAATCTGAGGTATTATGGTGTGGTGAATTGCTGTGTGGTACTGCTGCTGCTGCTGCTATTGCTGCTAATAGTGCAGCTATTGCTGCTGCTGCTTCTGCTGTTGCTGATGTTGCTCTCCTCTCCATCCCCACCATCTGCCTCTGGAATATTTGACAGTGGCAACATGTACATGTACATGTAGTAACAGGTATATGTTCATGGTGTGTTCTTTCCTTCTGCGTGTGTAGAATCTGCGTGTGTCGCCCGCACCAATACCTGACAACATTGTGGAAATAGTGGCAGTTGAAACAGAGATTGTATGCAAGTCCTCAGCTGCTACTGCATCTCCAAGAAAGACAGCAGGTAAGCTACAATGACAGGGGTGTCACAGGGTGGTTGGGAGTGGTACAAGGGGGGGGGGGGGGGGTCCGGGGTGTCCCCCGGGAGAGAAAAAATTCGGATTTTTCGGCCAACAGTTTTTTTTTTTCGGTTTTAGCGCTCTACAGCCACAAAGGAGGGTTCTCCTAGCACTTATCAGACAACCCCACTCGTACTCCAGCTCCAAAAAATACTTCTCATGGATTTTTTGGTCATACTTCGTAGGTAGCCAAAGCAAAAAGGAAGCCATTGCCCTCGAAAAATCGCAAAATCCGAAGTACAAGCGTGCTGCTTGCTGCACGTTCTAGCGCCAGCCGCTGTGCAAAAACGTATGTTATTACCACAATGACGATGATATTGCTTTCACAACAATGACCACAACCTAACTTGGTTTTCAGTAGGAGCAGTGACACAGCCTTACTGCTCCAAGTAGGATTTAGAAGAGAGTGAAGGGAGAGCAGACCGGGCCGGTCTAAGCAAGGAAGTAATCGGCATCAGAGGTGAGCACGCAGCATCGCAGATCGTCTCGAATTGCGCATCACATCAGCGGCAAAATTGCTCCTGTGCATGCAAGTGGATTTCCTTGCACTTCTCAGTTTGGGAAATGCTCGATTATGATAATTCTGCGTGCGAGTGCACTAGCCCTGAACATACATGTAGGTGACCCGTTTGTGGTGTCTCATAGCCTACCTCACGACCTTCTGCTTTCTTTCTGCATCACTTGTATCTTGCAGGTATATCATCTCGTGACGACCACATTGAAGTCTGAATTTGAAGTGCGAAGATGCTTCAGCAACCACATCATACTTTTCCATTGCTTTCATTGTGCTTCTACTGTGCATGTGTGTAACTTGTGGGGTATATATGTGATGACATTGTATGCTGGCGACACGGTCAGATTTTGTCCATGCGTGTAACGTACACTTGCATGTTATGCATTGAAAAGGATCTGCCACTTGCGATCCTGGGACAAGTGTCAGGTCAGCTTTGTCTTGTGTGGGCTGTACCAGATTGCTGTTCACTTTTCCATCTGTTGGATATGTGACTTTCTGCAAGTCTCTGGTGTATGGTGGCCACTTCTTTGCTTGTCACTTTGTATCATATTACATTCTGTATTCGCTGCTTCCATGGCGTGGTCTGCAAACTGCAATCCTTGGGCAAATGTCATGTTTGCTATGTTGTGCTTTGGCCGTCAGCTTGTCTTCTCGTTGTATTTGAATTATTTTGTTCCACAACTGACTTCCTTTTAAAAGTACAGTGGCCACTGCTTTGCATGGCATTTTACATGAAGAATTTCCTGTTTGTGTCGTGTGCATGTGCGTATGTGTGCGTGTACCGTGTGCATCCGCGTGTTTGTGTATCTGTGTGCGGGGTAAGCGAGGTGGGGAGGGCTGGTATGTATCAGTGTGTTATCGCAGTCTCATGCCTACATACAGTACATCGCGCGCGTGTTCATCATGTTTACCTTCGGGGTTGGGGTGGGGAGGGAACGGAAAAAGAACTGAAATTATCCATATAAAAATCGCTCTGTGAGCGGTTCTGAAAAACCTTTACTGGCGCTGCCCCGTCGTAAAAGTAAGAAATTAAAACTGGCCCATTGTCCCCCCAAATGTGAACTGATCCACCTAAATCGGGAATGACGGGACCCGAACGCACCAGTAGCACGAGGTCGGGAGGGCACAGGATCACAGCACATCATAGGGTAACACCATCACTAGTACATGGTATCAGTGGCAGTGTAACTTTGCTAGTACACATAGTTACTTCCATCGTACATCCAACATGGGAGTTCATCGACGACCATGGCCTGTGGACCAGCGTCCCCTGCTGCATCCACAAGTAGGAACCTGATTGATTGATTGATTTTATTTGGATTTGCGAGACCAAACGAGCAGGAGTGCTCAATAACAGGGTAGCGAATGGTTGAGTTGTGCTATGTGACAATGTAGTGTGTGCGGAGGCCCAATACGATGTAAGGGGATGGGAGGAGAGAAGGCCAGCGGAGAGTCAAACTCAGAAGAGGGAGGAGAGAATAACTGAAGTACACATTTACTGTGCGAATTCAAATAAACCAGACAAACAGCAAAACGAGTACACAACTCACGAGAATAAAGAGGACTGGAGCACAGAATTGAACTGCTGAAGTACACAGCTGACGAGAATAAAGACAGGAGCACAGAAATGAAGGGGAGGCAGTCTACGAAGTGGTGGTACCACCGGTGCATGCACCACGGTACATTATCACATTATCGGCTTTGCAAAGTTCGTGGGTACTGAATACCATGGTATGGCCAACTGTGTAGCAGTCTACAACGACTTACGTATAGGGAATGGCAGCTCGGAGGAATGCTGGGATGTTGCCCATGGCTCGGCGGAATGCTGGGATGTTACCCATGGCTCGACGGAATGCTGGGATGTTGCCCATGGCTCGGCGGAATGCTGGGATGTTACCCATGGGTCGCACCGTGTCAGGTACAGCTGTATATGGTTCCATAACAGGCAACCGTGAGATGCCGGTCGGCATTGGCCTGCTCGGCTTCTGGCTATTGGTTGTTGTAGGCCCAGACTGCGTTGAAGGCGAGTTGCTCCGCAGTTGCGACTGACAAACAGCGCCTGCAGAGCAGGACTGGCACGGTTATGAACGCACCGCCATACCAGCACGAGCAGTTTCTGGCGATATACCTCGTCCATGCGATAAACAGAGAGCCTCTCCAAGAGATCACTGGCCCTGGTAAATCGTGGTCGTCCGAACACCGCCCTTGCTGCGCGGCTTCGGGCCACCTGCAAGCGGTTTAGCTGGTTGTGGGTCAAGCCGGAGCCATATGCTGACGATCCATATATCAAATCCGGCATGATGACAGATAGGAAGTACTTGCTTCGACTAGCTAGAGTCACGTGAGGCAGTGTCGCGCCCGCCACAGGCTACCGATCTTCCTAGCAGTACGTGAGATGCACCGGTCAACTTGCGGTTGCCAGGTCATTCGTTCATCGATTAAGACGCCGAGGTATTTCGCGCTGGTGGTGTGCGGAAGCACATCATTTCGACAGCGTACACCCACGTCCGGCTGCTGCCCACTGCTGCTGGTAAAAACCAATACATTACTCTTCTTTGCATTTAATACAAGACCACGAGCGTCCAGCCAACTTGAGAGGGAGGTAACCGCCAAGCTGAGCGCATGAGACACCTCTTGCGCTGTCCGTCTTGCACATGTCAGGGCGATGTCATCCGCAAACTGCAGTGATGATGCCGGCGCAGATTCCGAGGGGATATCTCTGGTGAATATGGAGAACAGCATGGGTCCTAGTACAGAGCCCTGCGGCACACCACAAGTGCACCCTCGTGCTACTGCTGCGTCCGGGTCACGTCATTTGCGATTTAGGTGGATCAGTTCACATTTGGGGGTACAATGAGCCAGTTTTAATTTCTTACTTTTACGACGGGGCAGCGCCAGTAAAGGTTTTTCAGAACCGCTCACAGAGCGGTTCAAGTTATAATGTAAATAATACTCAATATGCTACCTGTGGTGTGGTGCAAGCTCAGCACTGAGCTAAATCAAGCTAAATCAAACATACAGCCTACACAGCCTCTAATGGCCCTCTATACAGTGCTGCGATGGCAGAACTTCTGAAGTTCACATCACCTTTCTTCCTCCAGCTATGCCTGTGACACCCTTTGTGGATCAAACACTAGTGGCAGGCCACGCGAAAATGAGAATGCGCGCAGCCAAGATTAGGCCATCATGATTCATCTCCTTCATCCATCATCCCGGCGGTCACTCCGCCCGTTCAATATCCAACACCAGTTCCCAAGAAATAAAGGCACGAGATTTCAAGTTCAAGGGCAAAGCTAAAGCCAATGGCACTGATTTTCGGAATTGTCGAGTAGAACGAAAATAAATCGAAGGCGATCATATGCGTATAATGACGGTCAGATTCGACACACACGTGACACAGTTTGGGTCGCGCTCGTGTGTCGCGCTTCGCAGCTCGAGCGCGCCCATGATGAGTCTCGCGCTTGCGACAGGCTAGCCGCTTGCGACAAAAGTTGTCTTTTTTTACGAATTCTGTGACGTCATGTTTTGGAAGAATGTCCCAACAGTCATTCGCGTAGTAGTAAATGGGATTATTATTATTATTATTATTATTTTATTTATTTTACTAGGGGATGGGATTTAACCGTATTGCTTGACTGATCCTTTCGACGTTCTAATCTTTCAAGTGACGTTTCCTTTTCTACCTGGACGCCTCCTTGTTTTCCCTTTTCTCTCTTGCTCCTCTCTTGTACCTTCTTGCTATTATTCACTTAAAGGGGAAGTTAAGGCAAAAATTAAAATTTCACTAGTTGTAGTCTTCGGGGTGCTGAGTCGAATGGTCTTGGTCCGAGGAAGCTGAGACGCTCCCTTCCTACTTGAATCCCAATCGAACTCGCGCACTTCCACCGAAACTAGGTGACTGCGCCCTACGAGATGGGGATTTGTATGCAAAATGTCACTAAAAGCGCCATTTCGTTCTTATAAAAGCACGGATGATCGCGATTGGCCCATATGTTGTAGTCTTTTGGACGCTGAGTCGACTGGTTTTGGTCCGAAAAGGCTGCGATCTAGCGTTCCTCCTTTATTCCCAATCGAACATGGTTGAACAAGCGGTCACGTGCTCCTGCGTACACCAGTCACCTGGTCACCGTGCCTGCAGGGTACAACTTACTAGCCTGTTTGATCTTTTTTGGGTGCACTCCTGTCACTCGAGTTGAACTCGAGTTGAACCTTGGTGTGAAATTTGTCGCCTGCTGGCGTGGTGACCAGGTGATTTGGGCACCCAGGAGCACGTGACCGCTTGTTCAACCATGTTCGATTGGGAATAAAGGAGGAACGCTGCATCGCAGCCTTTTCGGACCAAAACCAGTCGACTCAGCGTCCAAAAGACTACAACATATGGGCCAATCGCGGTCATCCGTGCTTTTATAAGAACGAAATGGCGCTTTTAGTGACATTTTGCATACAAATCCCCATCTAGTAGGGCGCAGTCACCTAGTTTCGGTGGAAGTGCGCGAGTTCGATTGGGATTCAAGTAGGAAGGGAGCGTCTCAGCTTTCTCGGACCAAGACCATTCGACTCAGCACCCCGAAGACTACAACTGGTGAAATTTTAATTTTTGCCTTAACTTCCCCTTTAAATGAGGGGAGTTGAATAAAACAAGTTGAAATAGTAGTAGTAGTAGTAGTAGTAGTAGTAGTAGTAGTAGTAGTAGTAGTAGTAGTAGTAGTAGTAGTAGTAGTAGTAGTAGTAGTAGTAGTAGTAGTAGTAGTAGTAGTAGTAGTAGTAGTAGTAGTAGTAGTAGTAGTAGTAGTAGTAGTAGTAGTAGTAGTAGTAGTAGTAGTAGTAGTAGTAGTAGTAGTAGTAGTAGTAGTAGTAGTAGTAGTAGTAGTAGTAGTAGTAGTAGTAGTAGTAGTAGTAGTAGTAGTAGTAGTAGTAGTAGTAGTAGTAGTAGTAGTAGTAGTAGTAGTAGTAGTAGTAGTAGTAGTAGTAGTAGTAGTAGTAGTAGTAGTAGTAGTAGTAGTAGTAGTAGTAGTAGTAGTAGTAGTAGTAGTAGTAGTAGTAGTAGTAGTAGTAGTAGTAGTAGTAGTAGTAGTAGTAGTAGTAGTAGTAGTAGTAGTAGTAGTAGTAGTAGTAGTAGTAGTAGTAGTAGTAGTAGTAGTAGTAGTAGTAGTAGTAGTAGTAGTAGTAGTAGTAGTAGTAGTAGTAGTAGTAGTAGTAGTAGTAGTAGTAGTAGTAGTAGTAGTAGTAGTAGTAGTAGTAGTAGTAGTAGTAGTAGTAGTAGTAGTAGTAGTAGTAGTAGTAGTAGTAGTAGTAGTAGTAGTAGTAGTAGTAGTAGTAGTAGTAGTAGTAGTAGTAGTA